TTACTTTCTGATAACTTGATCTGTAAATATTATTTTTAAAGTCGTATTACCAATGGTTATCACTGGAAAAGTAGTAATTTGCCTTTCTTCTAAGAATGAAATCTGTGTAAATGGTAAAGAACGTTAGGGATAATGGGTATCCCTGCTTAACACCTTGATTATTTACAGATGTGTTACTGGTTAAATTTCCTGTTTGTACGACAATTTTAGTATTGTTATACATCTTTTGTATAAATTTAATCATGTGTTTTGGATATCGTTTAGTAGCCATTATTTCCCATAGTTTACGAGGCCTGTCTAAAAAGAATCTGACCTTCATTTTTCCCGCGCAAAATAGTAATTCTAAGGCGGCGCCACTGTGCACGGTGGGAGGAACTTTTATGCGCATGCTTGCAATTTTTCACCGCGTTCGCTTGTGCCAGTCGCTGGCTGGTGGTCGCTAAGTAAGGTGCTGTTCATAGTATTCGTCGGATTTAGTTTTCTGGCAAGATGACTGCAGGAATTGAGCAAAGATACTGCATCAAATTCTGTCAAAAGCTTGGTGATTCTCAAAGCCAAACAATTCGTAAGATTCGGCAGGTGTTTGGAGAAGAGATGCGATGGGTGTAACACAAATTAAGCAGTGGTTCAACCAATTCAAAGATGACCGCACAACAGCCGAGAGTGAACAGCGTGGCGGCAGGCCCAAAACTGCTCGGAATGCAGCTGCTATTAAGAGGGTGCGAAATTTGGTGATGGCAGATCGCCGTTTGACAGTGCGCGAGAATGCAGAAGACGTTGGAATGAGTAAAGATCCTACACATGCAATTTTGCGTGAAGATTTGAACATGAAACGAGTGGCTGCTAAATTCGTACCCAAGTTGATACCTCCGGAACAAAAAGACATCCGTTTTGACGTTGCACAGGACCTTGTGGGCACGGCCAACACTGATCCTGGGTTTCTGAACACCGTGATAACTGGAGATGAGTCATGGGTGTACGGATACGACCCAGAAACAAAAAGACAGTCGTCTCAATAGCAGCATCCCGATTCTCCAAGGCCGAAGAAAGCGCGGCAGGTGCGAAGCAAAATCAAGGTGATGTTGTTTTCTTCGAAGCCTGTGGAATTGTGCAACACGAATACGCACCGGAGTGACAAAGGAGTACTATCAAGATGTTCTCCGGCGACTCCGTGAAGCAGTTCGGCGCAAAAGACCAGACATGTGGACGGCGAAGAACTGGTACTTGCATCATGACAACGCTCCTGCACATTCATCCGAGTTGGATCATTTGGGATCCACACTTTCTTAGCCAAACGTAGAATCACAACCGTCGCCAACCTCCCTACACTCTAGACTTGGCTCCTTGCGACTTCTGGTTGTTTCCAAAATTGAAGACGCCACTGAAAGGATCCCGTTTTGAGAGTGGAGAAGAAATAACGCTGAACACGACGACGGAGCTGAACACCACTCCAAAAGAAGACTTCCAGAGGTGTTTCCAGCGGTGGAAGGATCGGTGGGCTAAGTGTGTGGAAGCACAAGGGGCCTACTTTGAAGGGAATTAGGGTCTCAAATCTGTCAGGTATTTTTTCTGGCCAAAGGTCGGATACTTTTTAGACATGCTACGTATTCCGACTTCTTATATCAAAATCTTTCTCACAGTCTATGAACGATGAAATATGTTGGCATATTCTATGAAAAATAACACGGCATGATACATTTCTGGCATTGCATAGAACATCAGTTTTTATAAAGTTTCTTGAAATAACTTCGTGTTGTCCTGAATTATTAGCTACACAGGTGATCTATAAATAAAGATCTTCCAATATTACAGCTACGGAATATATCACTTTTTATTTCATGTTTTTTAGCAATATAAAACAAAAGTTTTATTATCATGTGAAATAATAAAGTAACGCAGTGGTAGCGAAATAACAACATATACATTAGGTCTATTTAGTTCTGGGGTTACGTTCGCAATCTACCTCCGTGACTCCCACGCACACTGCTCCCGTCCCCAAGGCTGGTGCATTCCCCCACCCGGACGCTCTGCCGCACCGGTGCCCCGACTCTAGTGCTACGCACTCGCAGAGTCCCGGGGAATACACATCCGCCCTGCGAGCGAACCGACACACGAGAGGCTCTCTAAACACGAACTCCCCTCTTCCTTCAACCTCCTTCATTGTTTTAGCGGTCACGTGATCCCCGAACCCCAGCCTCAGAGGGTGCAGCACGGGCCTCATGCACTGCCACGGGGGGGGGGGGGGC